ACATATACCATATACCGGTATCGCGCACATTCGATTCTCATTCCTCGGGTGTGTGAGGACATGACCATGAGAGTCTGAATCCAAATTTTAAATGTGATCATGATCCAAAAAGCTTCTTTCTTCCACCCTCACGCCTCCGAGGCATTCAAATCGTCCGCTGACCCAACTGACCCCGCCTCTGAGCTAAATATGTCAAACGAGCGCCTGCGGTCCCCACAACTCCGCTTATTGTACCCACCATGTCAAGCAGCGAAACCGAGAAACAGTCGCCGACGCACCTCCCTGTCCCCCGCACCGACTCTCCGCTGGACGATGAACCCATTGAGCTAACCTGGCGCTCATGGATTGTGGTCGCAATCTCTTGTTTCGCCATTTTCGTCCAGGTGTTTGTCGTCGTCGCGGCAGGCTCAGTTATCGCCTTCATAATAAGAGACTTGGGCGAGCCCGAAATCGCAGGATGGATCATTCAAGGACCGCTCTTAATGCAAAGTGTCCTGTCTCCCACTGTCGGGAGGTTGTCCGATGTTCTAGACCGCAAGTATCTCGCGGGAGTTCCCCCGCTAATTGCCCTTGCTGGAGCCGTGGTATGTCGTTCACCTCAGACACGTTCAAGGGCTCACCGTGATGAAGATGTCGGCCAAGGTCGTTTTCAAGCTCAAACCACTCACATTTCCTGACGAAAATAGGCTCAAAATATGTCCACTTTAATTGGTGGCGGCATCCTCATAGGCAGTACACTCAGCACAATTGCCATTGTCCAGGCGATACCCTCTGAAGTCCTGCCGCTCAAGTACCGAGCACTCGCGAACGGCTACGCGTTTCTGGCTGGCTCATTTGGTAACCCCACACAATGCTTCTGAACACGAACCTTTCTCATTCTGTGCCAGGTGGACTTGTCGGCGTCCTTGGCTCCGGCGGCGTTACCAATATCAATCCCTCCGGCTGGGTATGTACTCTGTTGGGAATATATCCTTCGGCTCATTTGTTCAGAGGAATATCTTCTGGATTCAAGCCGCTTTTCATGCGGTAACAGCTGTGGGACTCCTCGGGTTCTACTGGCCTCCGCCTTCAGAGTATCCCCGCCTCAGTGCTCGGCAACTCATCTGGGCCATTGATCCAATCGGGTCCATTCTAATGACCGGCGGTACGACGTTGCTGCTTCTTGCGTTTGACTGGGCTGGAGGAACCTATCATTGGGACGACCCACATGTTGTTGGGCCCCTCGTAACCGGAGCTGTTCTTCTGATTCTCTTCTGTTTGTATGAATGGAAAGGGAGAACAGATGGCATTATCGCCCACGTTTTTTTTTTCACGCGGGCCAAACTTTCTTCTGTCGGTGTTTGCCTTTGCAGTTGAAGGCTTTGTGTTCTACAGGTTCGAGTCGGAGCGATCCAGATTGGCCGTATTAACATGTTTTATAGTGCGGTCAACTCCATAGTCCCGCAGATCGTTCTACACCTCGGCTTTGAATCCAATGCATGGCGGATTAGCGTGCGGCAATTGTCCTACAACCTGATCATCATCGTAACCTCCATTCCCGTTACGTGCGTGTTTTGAACGACAAGCAAACTAAACCTAACGTCGACAGGTGGTACGCAACGAAATACAAGGATCTCAAAAGTCCTCTGATCGTAACGTTCGGCTTCTTCCTGATTGTGTATGTTTCATCCCGTGTATATTTCGTTCCTTACTCTCTTTTTAGTTCGATATGTTATGCGACGATCACGCCCAAGCTCAACCACGCACAAATCGTATACAACGTCCTCGGTTCGTTGATTTCACCCCGCACCAGCTCACCAATGACTAGGATTCTAGCCGGTATCGGCCAGTCGGGCCCGCTCACTCTTATCGTTGCCCTGACGCAGTTCACCGCGCCACACCAATTCCTCGTACGCAATTTTCCCTCAAGCGTTTCTCCAGTTCTCAGGGAATCATCTAGTCCACGGCCACCGGTTTAGCATTTAGCGCTCGAGCTATCGGAGGAGCTTTTGGAAGCGCCATCCTCGACGCGATCATCAACAACAAGCTGGTATCCTATGCCACGGACGTCGGCGCGGCCGCTGTCGCCGCTGGCCTACCACAAAGCTCAATCCCCGCTCTTCTACAGGCCATCAGTGGAGGCGGGCCATTGACGCCAGAGGCCATCCCAGGTGCTTCGCCGACGATAATTGAAATCGCGCTCGACAAATCACACGAGGTCTACGCTCGCGCATACCGCTTTGCGTGGATCCCCATTATTCCTTTTGTGGTTCTCGCGATGGTAGCAATTATGTGTCTTCGGGATGTGAAGGAGCTAATGACGGAGCATGTCGAGGCAACCGTCGAGCGTGTCGGCGCTCGAAATGTGGAAGGCGAGAATGCCAGCACGGAAGAGAAGGCGTGAATCTCGGCACAGTTCATGATTTTGTACCGGTACATGACATCGTCAAACAAAGCCATTAGCTACATGATTGAGATGCTCGATATACCACGTCTGTTTGTTGATGGAAAGATTGGATCTCGCTCACCTATTTATGAATACTTCCTGGTAGAATCGGCCATCTGACCAGCTCACCTTTGTAAGATCCCCTTCCTCCCACTCTACCATGCCTTTCCTCGATCTCAAGGTCCGCATTGTATTTCCTCCCCAGTTGACGAGGTGGACTACTAGTACTCGCTGACTCTCAAACTCAAGGTCAACGTCCAAGTGCGTCTGGAGAAACCGTTGATTTCTCGTCCTTTATTTCGCCGCTAGGTCGCAGATGAGCAAGATCTTGCCAAGCAGCTTTCCAAGGCGAGGGATAGACCAAATCATCTTTCCCGCGTATTGAAGGCAACTATCAGGTCAGTGCAGAGACACTGGGCAAGCCGGAGGCATATATCACCGTCTGCGTCACCGTCAACAAGACGCTCACGTTCGGGGGCACATTCGAGCCTGCTTTCTCGCTTTCCGTCGTGCGTTGTTTTATCGTTCTCAGAGAATAGTGCTCTGAATATTCTGCGAAACACAGGTCAGCTTGGATAACCTCAGCACCGAGCTGAACGAGAAATACAGTGCGGCGTTTACCAAGTTCCTCGCCGAGAAACTCGGCATTCCGAACGACCGCGGATACATGTTTGTTGAACTCGGTTGCTTAGCTTGACAACGTGCTGAGAACGCATTAACCAGAATCTTCTCGGATCCCGGGCGAGGATACCTTGGGTATGTGCGTTTCGTTACACGGAGAATCCATCTACAGCTGTGCGGGCAGGTTCCAAGGGACCACCTTCGCGACCATCTTCAAATCCTGAAGCCGACTAGCACAATGTTGTACCATTATGAATTTCTACATGCTCTTGAGCCGTCTGTAAGAGTACCTAAAATCGTGAATTACTGCCAACCCTCCTCACCCACTTTCCGCGCTCGGAAATTGAACTCTACCAGTAGCGGCACAAGAGAGTTCTTGGGCTCTTCATAATAGTCCAAGAAGGTCCAGCCTCGAATCCGCATGCTCTCCTCGTCTTTGACACCGTCGCTGAGCCGTTTGAGCGCCCACTTGCCGGCCCGGGTATTCACACCTTCAACACCAAGTCCCCATCTGGGCCAGCCAAATCCCTGCGAAACAGTCTGTGGTGCGGCGAACGGGAAACTTGATGCAGAGAAATAAGCTATAGGCAAGGACGGAATGTCCTTGTCTGACGGTCTCGGCTCTAAAACCCCGGTCGCCAGAGCGACTTTCTCCGGAATGGAGAGAAAAGATGGGATGTGGTAATAGTCGTTGACGCGGACGACGGTGTCGTTGCACATCCACTTGAAGCCCTGTCTCTCGCTATCGGGCCAATACGTTGGGTGTATACCCATTCCATTCAGCCCGTTCTCCCAGCCGTCGCCGTTACCGAACCGGCTGAAAAGTACGACTTTTCCTCGCACTTCACCAACTAGAACAAATTGATCAGCTCCACAGCAATCCAGGTTTATGTACATACGCGTCGGAATGCGAGACTCAAAGAACCACATATCCCGCCCGCCCGCACCAGCGTAGATCTCGTCGTGAACTAGCTGAGAGAAGACTGCGGAGGGAGCTTCTTGCTTGATAGACATAACGAGGGTCTCCCGTGAACCATCGGGCGATGTGAGGAAGTTGTGGACGGACGCTAGGATGTCCTGGAAAGGCGTCTTCTGTGGGTATGCACCATGATAGGCGATGAGACGGCCTTTGACGTCGGTGAGGCGGATGTCAAGCACGCGTATGCCGGACCGGAACTGCACGTCAAGCGGTGTCGAGATGGATTGGCATTGGGAGAATGGCCAGCCGTAGAAGGCCATCCTGGGGCGGGTTAGCATGGGGCAGTTGAAGTAATGAACACATACGTATCATGGGTTCCTGCGCAGCATTTAGTCACCTCGGGGGACATGGACGTATGGCGCACCTGGAAGGAGTAGGCGTGAAATGGGAACGCTGTCCGGTATCGGCTGGAATGTATCAACAATAGTCTGGCAAAAGGAGGGCTGACATACCGACAGGAAGGAAGGAAGACTACGATGCGGAATAACCACCAGCTCACGATGCTTCGGCGCGACCTGAGCTGTTGAGCCTAGGTATCTAATTCACGAGCAGTAGACATACTTTGCGGAGATATAGACGCCAGAGCGAGTCTTCAGGAGTCGACAGCAGCTTCCAGGAAGCGCCCTTGGTTCCAGAGACCCTGAACCGCACGGTTGCCAACTCGATGTGTTTCTCTCCGTCGAGGTGTAAAGCTGCCGCACCTGCCTTTGGGAAGGGCACCATTACGGGCTTCGACGGAGATGCGAGCAGTTCAATATCCGGGCAGGAGTCTGAGGAGAGCACTAGGGCATCCTCAGTGAGATTGAGGACATGAAGGTGCATCGTAAGCGCAGTCGGTCCAAAAAGGAAGTCCGACGTCTCGGGAAATGCGATACTGATGGAGTTTAATTCTGGAAAACGGTCGATAAAGTAGAGGCGTAATACACGAAAGTCGAAGCATGAAAGGAAGTAAAATTGAAAGACGGCACAAAAAGATGCCCTCTAGCCGATTTGAACGACTGACTTCGTCATACCAGAAATTACTAGTGACGCACTCTACCAACTGAGTTAAGAGGGCATGACACTGGAGAGGAATTGAACGGGAAGGACCGTCGGTTACTTGCGTAGAATGAGCGGTCATTTCAGAATGCCTTTGAAGAAAGGTGTATCTGCAGGTCTAACGAAGAATGCAGAAGCTTCATACACGACATTGAATAATTTTTTCCCTCTCCTATTCGAGCTGCGTGAGTTGCAACCGGTCTCAAAGTGCTGGCACGTCTTATGCACCTTGGTGTTTGACGCGTCGGGAGGTGTCTTCCGAGGCGTCGAAAGGCTAATTCCGTTGCAACCCAATTGGGGCGGAGGCAGGAACGCTGGAGTCGAGTTCAAGGGCAAGTCTGGTACGGCGGCGGCGGTATTGGCGAGAGCAGCAGCGAGTGCGATGGAGAGGGACGGGAGACTCAGAGTTGCTCGAGCGTCGACGAACCGATGAGTTTCTCGCTGGAGGCTGGGCGAGTGGTGCAGGTGCTGGCGGGTCTGGGTCGTTTGACGGAACGTTGGCACACAGACGGCCGAGAACGAGCGAGTGAGTCTCCGGTTGGGATTGACGCGGATGTTGTGGCCACGGAAAACGGCTGATACAGAGCGGCCAATGATAGAGTAGCAGGATCGTTGACGAGTCCGAAGAAGTTCATGGTCGAGATGATGGTGGGAGAAGATACTAGGTGTCTTTGTTGATACATCACTAGGGTGTAGTACTACAGTAATAAATCTCAATCGCGGCGAGGGCGCAACGTGCGAGTCGCTGGAATCGCGTTTCAGTATGGAGAGTCAGAGACGATTAAATGAACAGCGTACACAAAGTGCGTTGGACACCAGCCTTGACGCGAGTAATACGTGGCTTCTTGTTGGCTGTGTTCTCTGTGAGCGAGTAGCAGCACGGCGAGACCCATGCACACCATTCCCGATGTCCCGCAATGGACGCTTCGCCGGCGACTTCAAGTTGAGAGCATTATCGGCCTCCAATATCTCCGCATACGCTACAGTCCACACTTAGCACCACTCACACGGCGCAAATTAAAGGATGTGCACCCAGGATCCCATCTGCTCGCATAGCGAGTTCCTTGAGCTTCGCACGTCGGGCATTGGTGGTGGCTAGCGACGCGAGCCATTCAGGATCGTAGATTTCGGTGTAGTATTCCTCTTCGCGTGCCTCGATCTTGTCTATAATGTATTCGACGTAAAGGTCGGTGTTGTGGAGGTCCTGCTGCGGTTCAAGTTCCATGCTGCTAGTGGTCGGAAAGTAACAACTTGAATTTGTGACGCGAGGCCGCCCGCGGCGACGTACAATCGAACAACTACCTAGTAGTAATGCGCTGGAACATGCGCCGGCAACCCTTGCGGATAGTACTTGTCAAACAACTTTGGGTAGAATCTCAACGTCGCCAGCGGATGCGTCTTGATCTTTTCTTCCAGTACCGCCTCGGCCGCTTCGAGGCGATCTGTCTCTGTGAACCGGACTGCAGGAGCTTGTTAACGAATGCCCACGCCCAAAAAATGATTGAATCGTACAGTCTGTCCTCTTTCCAGTGCGCTCTTCTCGGGCTTTCTTCATGGCGAGTACGTCCTCCGGGACTACAGGCTGAAAGTCAGTTATCGGAGGACCAAAAAGCCTACAATACGTACATTCGTACTTGACATCCGCGATTCGGATGTGCATGGCCAGACTGGAGAAGAATGCGATCGAGCAGCGCGCACCAGACGGCGGAGGCTCAACACGATGAACCGTTGATGTGAGCACTCCCTGCGTAGCTTTTTCAAGTGCTACCGAAGCTCGTCAACGATACCATCAAAGAGGCAAAGAAACATCGCTTACCAGAGCCTAGGTTGATTACGAATGTTCCTCGGACGGGCGGCGTCTTTACCCACTCCCCAGAGTGATTCAGGACCTCCAATCCCGGCTGGTCATCGACCTGAAGCAGCTATAACCTCTAATCAGTCTCCATCTGCGTGTATTCACAGGTGGAACGTACGTAGGTCAAGATGCTCTTATCGAAGTGCGGGGAAATGCCCGAGCGAACACCAGCAGGATATAGCATGAGCTTGCATCTCGGCTGCAGCTTGGAGCGATCCGAGCCGTAAAGCTCATATAGCGCATCCGGTCCGAGCCCCAAGGCCTCTGAAACGCAGGCGGTAAACTCGAAGCTCAAAGTCTCGAGATACTCGTAATACTCCAGTATCACCTTGCGGAACCCTGGGAGAGCATCGTCTTTGGGCCACTATAAACCATAAGCGCCGAATGAAAACACCGCGACCGACTCACGAGAGCGTTCCCCTGCAGCTTGAGATATTCGGGTGCTCCCTCCTCGTAGCGACAAACGCGATCTCCACCGAAGTTGAACTGCTCGCGCGTATCTTTATGTCCATCGGCCCCTCCGACATGGAGATAACCATGGAAGTGCGGCGACTGGCTCATGTCTATTTCGTCCTTGACGGCCTGGGGGAGCGCGAAGAAGTCCTTGGTGAGCTTGCATACGTTGTCGACGAGGTCCATAGGGACGGAGTGGTTGGAGAGATACACGAAACCGACGTTGATCATGGCATTCCGAAGCTGCAGGAGGAACGCGGGCTTGTCGCGCTTCGCGAGCGACCAGTCGAGAATCGGGATTTCGTCGAATTCGAGAGACATACGGGGCGACCTGAGTGGGCTGGAGGAGGCAGATCAAGTCCATTTATACAAAGTTGTGTGCGATTCCACAGTGAGAGCATTGCTCAGGTCGAAGCGGAGTGTACAAACCCAATCGGCGCCTAGGGATATGTGTTGTGTTCGAGGTATCCATCTTTCGAGCCACGGAATTGAGCGTCGAGCGATATAAAAATAAATCAAATGATACCGTCCCTAATCCTTTGAGAAGCAGGCGTCAACTGGACGTGAGATATCGACTTGTGAAAACTCGCCTCTTATTGGACCTTACAATAGACGGACCGTGATCTCACAAAGTCGGTTCGCACCAAAAGGGTAGAGCTGTTGCGGTTCCACAACGACAGTGGACTAGCCCGCCTTGATTCTCGCGCGCGTATGCACTGGAAGAAGAAAGACCACAGAGGGGTCAAGCGACTCACCTTGCTTGATGCCTGAGCGGAACAATTGATACTGTTCTGTGCATGCAGCCCTGATAAACAAAGACCGGTTAAGAATAGCATCGAAATGGAATTGCGCCTGACGCGGTCGAGCTGATACCACGCGATTCAGGGAGGCATTTCGGGCCCGGCGAAGGGAAAAAGGCGGTTCCTGAGAGCCTATCTATACCACGCGTCCCAGAATCGTGTCTCTGAAAGACACGGAGCGCATGCATACCTGGAAGGTAATGCATCGATAAGTAACGGCCGATAGATAGCGTTCCTTGGTTGGTTGGGTGGATTAGACAGAGGGATATACAGACGTCAACGTTCAAATAGATTCCTCTCTATAGGCTCTTCTTTTTCTTGTTCCTCTGGACCGACAACATCCTGCGTCTCTTCGGACGACGACGACGCCGGGGAATCGGAAAGCGCAGCGGTCGACCTCTCAAAGCTGCGAATAACCGGCGGCCAGTCATGGGCCGCTGGTCGTTGGCTCGGAGAAACGATCCCGTTTCGCAGTTCCCTCCACCACTCAGGTGTATCGGGTCGTGGGGGCGCATCAGTTCGCGAGGATTGTCTAGGGGTTTCGCCGACGGAGTTCAAGTCGATGGGGATACCGGTGGCTGCAATAGCGTTTGCACCCTCGATGAGCTGGTCCGCCCATACCTCAAAGGCACGTCCGCTCAAAGTCGGGTCGCCGACAGGAATAGTGGATAGAGGTGGCGGCGGCGGGGAATGTCGGTTTTGGCTATTGCGCCAGGTAAAGAAGCGTGAGAGCGGTACACGGACTGCATCTTCGTCCTCAGGCCGTCTCGCACTCACGTCTTCGACAGTAAGAGGGGTCTGGGTCTGGCTCAACTGCTGCACACGGGTACTCGCCCGAAGGCGTTGAATATCATCTCCCTCGCGAGTACGGCGGCGAGGAGCATCGAAATCAAACTGGATTCCGTCGTACCGAGTTGATATCCGCTGTGCAGGACTCGGCAGCGGTGGGGACACAGCCGAGCCCAGGAAGACGTAGTGTTGTTGCGATAACATGGAGGAATGAGACAAGAGCGAAAAGTGTCGTTCGCAGGGCCTGAAGAACGCACCGAGAGGGTTGCCGCTGTGGATTGGTTGAGAACTTGCTGCGAATAGATGCTTGCGACAAACCAAATGGCACAACCCATTCCCGTCCGTGTGCACTCGCAGCGCCCCTTGCCCAGCATCAATTCCCGCTTTGCCGAAGAGGAAAAGTATTCGTCTCCCAAATGGATAACGTCGCGGCTGACTCCGTCTGGCAACCCAGTCCACCGTTTGTCGGGATACGCCTCTCCGTGTACGCGGGTCCCACAACCATTGGAACGCCGTTGCCGCTTGCGAGGTGGAGACGTCTCTTCATCTGGAACGACTTGGATTCGGCACGGTCTACGCTCGTCCCATTCTATGCCGTTGTCTGCCCCACAGAACAGCGCAACAGGCACTTTTGGAAGCACAGATGCGAGCCTTCGTTGGTCTGCGCTTTCTTCAGAACGGAGGATTTCCAGGAGCTCTATTGAAGGATCGGTGGAGGGACGCGCATGGTACGACATGGTGGAAAATGTCAAAGGTGTGTTTGATGCGGCGTGCCTTCTTCCGACGCCTTCATAGACGACTTGTTGAAGCAATGTTAGCTTCACGTCGCCGAATATCCCTTGCAACTCGCTCTGTCAACTCTGCCACGCTCAGACTCATTCCCATGCACTGATATACAAAGATTGCAGTTCGGGCCTCGACTATGCTGTTCAAAGTGGAAAAAAAATAACCTCCGTCTAAACTTACGCCCACCATATAGTTTTCGACTTTCGCTATAGTTATTTAGGCCTATCGAAGTATTTAGATGCTCTATCTAAAAAGATTTGGCGCTATCTCAAGTTTTTGCGAGCATCTCAACATTTTTCGCCGCCTATCGCAAGTTATTTCGGCGCTTGACGGGCG